CATCAAGTGTTGTCCCGCGCTGCACTCTGCTGCGTTGGGTCCCGGCTCGCGATAGTGCAGGTCTCTACTCGGAAGGTGTCTGTTATAATGTTATGATGGAGGCACTGGACTCTGAGCATAACTTGTGAACAAACTATAAAATATTTTCTATAAAAACGTTAATGCCCTGGCAGTGGTAAATAGTTTCTTTTATATTTAATTTGATTACATTAATGTTATAAACTGAGATTTACAATAAATATTTTAACTGCTACTACGTAAATGGAATACTGCTGTAAAAACCAGCTGTTTGCAGCTGTTTGCTGTTTGCAAACCAAATGTTATTGCACTTTTGTTCATATAGCAGTACTTTTAAATGAAAAAGTGCATAATACACTTCTTTTGAATTCATTATTTGTGCATAACAATGTAATTAATTGTGATTAATCGCAGAAAATCATACAATTAATCGCGATTAAAAAATGTAATCGTTGCCCAGTACTAATTTAAATATAACTAGAAAGGTGATTTATATAACTAGATCAAATATAACTAGAAAAGTGTTTAGAAATAAAGTCAGAATATTTTATCTCAAATCTGAAGTACTCATTTTCTAAAGCAATTTTAAAGAGTGGCACTTAACTGACAAATAATAATAATAATAATAATTCAAATACTCCAAGATTACTAAAACACGAATACAAAAGACACAAAAACAGACCAAAAGACACACACACACACAAATCATTGAGTAGGACTAGGACACAAAGAGAACAGTTGAGTTTTTAAAAGTATTCAGAAACCTCAAAACATATTTTTCACAGTTCTTGATCAGTAGAACCTGTGCCAACACTGGCATCTTCAGGGCATGGTTTTAATAACATACATCAAGTTTTGTCTCAATAGAGCATTTAAAAGATAAAATCTCACTTCCTGTTTGACACTGTCAAAGTAGATTATTTTTAGTTTTAATAAAATGATACTCTAAATAAGAAACTAAAACTGCCAGTATGTGGCGGTAAATGTCTTAATGGATAAGTCATTGAGTCATTCATTCATTCGATTCGTTCAAACTGCTGATTCATTTATGAATTAAGTAAATGGCGCTCTTTATGAATGGGCCATTGAATCATTGGTTCACCCGTTCGTTCAAAACACGGATTCATTCAGAAACGAATCACCACTGTGTGATGCTCGAAGACACACAACAGTTCCGCTTTGGCTTTATACAGTAGGTAATATTTGCATTGGCAAAATTGAGCAAAAACAAGTTTTTGGAGTTCTTATTTCATTAAATAAAGTTCTTATTTAATGAAATGCTATATAAATTCTATATCACATTTGCACTCATGCTATTTGGGACTAAAACAGCACTCGTTGCTTGTGTGATATTGCTTAACTATATCATATTATATAAATATGAGACTAACTCAAACGGGCATTTTTGCCCCGATCTCTTGAATTTTAGGGGCATATAACTGCATTCTTTCGGCTACTTCATGCAGTGAGTTGTTGCCCTGCATCATGTTTGTCATGAATCCAATGTATAGGTGTGTTCGACTTGAAGCAGCGCTGCGCAGATTGATCGGTATATGACATCAAAGTACCACAAGAGCCATTAATGCCTTAAATCGACAGACCTAATATTTTCCTTACATTTTTTCAGAAAAAAAATTACATGTCCTTTTTTAATGAAACTTAAGACAAGTTGGAGCTTATCCTAACTTCTAAAATCTTCTTAAGTTTTGTCTTTAGAACAATCTTAAGAAAAAAGATTAGAACTTTCTTTAGAAATGCTTTTGGAAATACAAGGAAGTTAGGAAAAAGCAGTAAAAAAAGAATATTATTCTTAAGAATGTTTTGCTAATCTGGCCCGTAAGATGTAATAACTAAAATTCGGAAACAGTTGTGCAAGTATTCAATGGGCAAATGCTCTTTAAATGCAATTAGTAATTTACTGTATAAATGTATTATTATGTATTATACAGTGGAGATTAAAATTAGAGAACAATCTATAAATACTTGATTTTTTTCTGAAATATTGTTAATCTTCATCGCTCAAAATTTGAAGAAATATTAGCTGTGGGTATACCACTGTTATGCTAACATGTTTTACAAAATAACCAAGGCATTTCAATAAAAACTTTTTTTTTTGTGGAAAACACAGTGATCAAAATTAGAAAACAGTAACCACTGTAGCACGAAAGAAGACTACAACTTAGCCATAACTTTGTTGCCAAGGATTTTCCAGAGATTTTTAACTGGATTTAGATCAGGACTCTGGGACGGCCATTAGCTTCAAGGAACTGATTTACCCGTTTTGCAGTGTGACAGGGACATTGTCTTGCATGAAAATTGCAGGCTGATTGGGAGATGCTTGCAGGGAAGGAACTGCATGTTGCTGAAGGAGGTTCTGATAAACATTTGCATTCACCTGCCATGTAGCTGTAAAAGAGGCAGAAAACATCCCCCAAAGCATAACACTTCCTCCTCCACCATTTACTGACTTCTTTCCATCAGACCCAAATAAATTAAACTCACTAAAGTGAACTTCGGGCCAGTCCTCCTCTCTCTACACAACATGCTCCTTAGCAAATGTGAGTCTAGCCTTTTGATTCTTTTTGCTGATGAGAGGCTTGGTCACTGCAGAGTGCGCTTTCAGTCCGACTTCTCTTAAACATGCCGAGACAGATCCTTACCCTGTTCAGCACTGAACTGGCAAGCAATTCCAGCTGCAGTGTTGAACCCATTCCCTACTGAAAGTCTCCACATTATCCTGTCTTCTCGTGCAATTGTCTTACGTGGACGACCAGCCTTTTTGGGGGACTTGAATGAATTAGTGTTATTGTAAAGCTGCAATATTGCAGAAATCACAGATTTGGAATGACCAACTTCTCTTACAGTGACTGAAAGGATCATCTCTTTGGCCTTCATCTGGACCACCTCCTGTTGCAGGGTTTCAGTCACCTTAGAGAAGCCCGCCATCTTGCAATCACAGTGAAAATTAGAGGAATGCTGCCAGTTAAATAGGGTTTGTCATATAATGAAGGAAATTAGCAACAGGTGCCAGATTAACACCAATAACGTGGAGGTATCTGTAACTGTTCTCTAATTTTGATCTGAGTTCTTTTTTAAATATCCCATTTAAGTTTTTTATACTGTGCTTCAGAATACAATTAATTTGTGAAATATGCTTTAAAAAACTGCCCTTCTACTCCTGTTAGCATAAGTTCAAATAGGACTAAACAGTGACCTTGAAATTTAGGACATTTTAGGTTTCTCTCTAATTTTGATCTCTCTCTCTCTCTCTCTCTATATATCTCTCTCTCTCTATATATATATATATAAGTATTTAGTCAGCCACCAAATTTCTGGCTCTCACAGACTTGTAACTTCTTCTTTAAGAGGCTCCTCTGTCCTCCACTGGTTACCTGTATTAATGGCATCTGTTTGAACTCGTTATCAGTATAAAAGACATCTGTCCACAACCTCAAACAGTCACACTCCAAACTCCACCATGGCCACGACCAAAGAGCTGTCAAAGGACACCAGAAACAAAATTGTAGACCTGCACCAGGCTGGGAAGACTGAATCTGCAATAGGTAAGCAGCTTTGTGTGAAGAAATCAACTGTGGGAGCAATTATTAGAAAATGGAAGACATACAAGACCACTGATAATCTCCCTCGATCTGGGGCTCCACGCAAGATCTCACCCTGTGGGGTCAAAATGATCACAAGAACTGTGAGCAAAAATCCCAGAACCACACGGGGGGACCTAGTGAATGACCTGCAGAGAGCTGGGACCAAAGTAACAAAGGCTACCATCAGTAACACACTGCGCTGCCAGGGACTCAAATCCTGCAGTGCCAGATGTGTCCCCCTGCTTAAGCCAGTACATGTCCAGGCCTGTCTGAAGTTTGCTAGAGAGCATTTGGATGATCCAGAAGAGGATTGGGAGAATGTCATATGGTCAGATGAAACCAAAATATAACTTTTTGGTAAAAACTCAACTTGAGGAGAAAGAATGCTGAGTTGCATCCAAAGACTACCATACCTACTGTGAAGCATGGGGGTGGAAATATCATGCTTTGGGGCTGTTTTTCTGCAAAGGGACCAGGACGACTGATCCGTGTAAACGAACGAATGAATGGGGCCATGTATCGTGAGATTTTGAGTGAAAACCTCCTTCCATCAGCAAGGGCATTGAAGATGAAACGTGGCTGGGTCTTTCAGCATGACAATGATCCCAAACACACCGCCCGGGCAACGAAGGAGTGGCTTCGTAAGAAGCATTTCAAGGTCCTGGAGTGGCCTAGCCAGTCTCCAGATCTCAACTCCATAGAAAATCTTTGGAGGGAGTTGAAAATCCGTGTTGCCCAGCGACAGCCCCAAAACATTACTGCTCTAGAGGAGATCTGCATGGAGGAATGGGCCAAAATACCAGCAACAGTGTGTGAAAACCTTGTGAAGACTTACAGAAAACGTTTGACCTCTGTCATTGCCAACAAAGGGTATATAACAAAGTATTGAGATGAAATTTTGTTATTGACCAAATACTTATTTTCCACCATAATTTGCAAATAAATTCTTTAAAAATCCTACAATGTGATTTTCTTGATTTTTTGTTTTCTCATTTTGTCTCTCATAGTTGAGGTATACCTATGATGAAAATTACAGACCTCTCTCATCTTTTTAAGTGGGAGAACTTGCACAATTGGTGGCTGACTAAATACTTTTTTTCCCCACTGTATATATATATTTTTTTTATTTTATATTTTTTCCACAATAAAGGCCCTTACAACTGACAGCCTTACACTACACCCATTAAATATCTGCCACACGAGTAGAAATGTACAATGTTTAACAATATATAAAAAAATATACATTTATCTTTGCTGAAGTGAGACCCAAGGTATGCAAACTTTTACATATGTTGCCTGTTGTAGCACCCCCAGTGGCAAACTAATGAATCTGTAAAATTAGTAGTTCAACCCATGACTCTTAAAATAGTAGTGCTGGTAATTGACATAGAGATTATGGTTAATGGTTGACTTTTTGGCAAGGAAGCTTGAGGTGACGTGTTGCAATGTGTTTTTGTATGATTCATCCATAATTTCCAGAGATGGCTGGACTGAAATAGAATTAGAATAAATAAGTTTGGTTGTGGTACCTGGGAAGACTTCACTGAGGTTGACAGGAGGTTTGTTGGTGTCCACAGTGATCTTGTACTTGGCATTTTTGATAGCTGAGGAGGGGTAGCACACTAACCGAAGAGGCAGGTTGAATTTACACTGAGATACTCGAGGGATTCCTGACAGAGTGAGCGCAAACACAAAGACAAGTCATTACACAAAAGACAAGAACCACTCAAACACACACTGAACTGTAAAAAGTTTCATCTTCAGACTAGTCTTCAAAAATGTCAGCCAAAATTGACTGAACAAGTCTTATTGGAAATAAGGATGAGGCAGAGGAGACTCTCTGAGAGTTTGAAGAAAAGAATATAAGATCAGTGCTGCTGAAAAAATAAACAAGTACCTATGTACTGTTCACAAACACATGGGATAATTATATGTTGAGTAGATGAGTGCATCAGGAGTTTCAGTAATGCTTTCCTGTTATTTTTGTTAAGGTAATCTAAACCTGTACTGTAGGGGCATGCGCCACTGATCTAATGTCATACTTGAGAGCAGGGTTTCCTTTCAGCTTGGTTCTGAACATCATTTCTTAATGTGCTTTGAGTCTACCTTGCATTTGGGAAGCCAATGTGTGCTAGGTACACTTTAATTAATATATTCACATAATTTCCAACATTTTTGTGGGCAGAGGTTAACAGCATTTCAATATTCCGCCGAAATAAAAGCTTGAATTTGAAATGTTAAAATCTTGAGGTTTTGAATGTGAAGAATTTAAGAATCAAGACTTGATGTAATTTTTTTTTTTTTTTTTAAAATTTCCAATTTTTTTTTTCTTTCTTCATTTTTTTGGGGGGGGGGCAAGTCACACAGCCCTACGCAGTACATAAAAACAACTTAATAAATAAACACTTACTAAAAAAAAAGATGAAATATTTTATCGGTTTACTTGCATGTTTTGACCATTAACCGACATCAGAAAACTGTGAACATGCAAATGTGTTGTTAAATTATTGAAATATTAATTTAAAATCTCAAAGTTTATGTCTAAGGGATTTGGATGACAAAAAAGTTTTGAGCAAAGAAGGACATGACATACTTTCCTGTCTGTCAGATGGGAAATAAAAGCACCTGCATGATGCTGTCACCCCTACCCCCTACTGGACACGTCAACTACTGCAGTGAATGTGTATTAGAAATGCCCTGTGCTTTGTGTGTATATTTATGAACATGTTTGCATATTAAAGTGTTTGCCTACAGCTGAACATATGCGATCACATCTGATGATAGGAAACATATATCCTGTTCTGAGGTCCTTTCTGTCACTCACCTGCAGGGTTGAGCTCTGACATGGGTGGCAGCAAGAAAGAGGAGCAGAATATCTGAATTACACATTCACACTGACACATGAATCATACTACAGAGGAGCAGTCAGGGGTGACTGTAGTACAGAAAAAAAACTGATACAGTAATATACTGTAGTATCATACAGTTCCATAGTATATAAACATTCAAATTTTAAAGAAACAGAAGACAAACATCCACAATTAAAAATACAGTTAAAACCGTACTAGTGAGAAATATTATTACAATTTAAAAAAATGGGGCAAGATATAAAAAAATATATATATAATAATAATAATATATTTATTTAGCAAGGATGCATAAAATGTATCTAAAGTGGCAGTAAAGAAATGTATAATATTACAATATTATATTAAATAAATGCTGTTCTAGATTCTTTTGATGAATTTCTATTCATCAGTCATGGCTAAAAACTCAGCTTTGCCCTCATAGGAAGAAATTACAACTTACATTTTATTCAGAGAGAAAACATTTATTTTTAATTGTAATAATATTTCACAATGTAACTGTTTTACTGCATTTTAAAATATCACTTCAATATATATATATATATATATTAGTGCTGTCAATCGATTACAAAAATCCCACCTAACAATAAAGTTTTTAAATATACTTTAATAAAGACCGTATATATCTTTTTTTTATATTTGTTTAATGGCATCTTTTTTTATGACTGAAGGTCAGTATCAGGGAAAAACTGTAAAAGATCTAACCGGCCATTTCATGTAATTTTACAATAAAATGCTGTTAATTATAACATTTTTAAAAGTAAAAAAAGAACAAATCAACGTATAATTTACAGTAAAAAACTGTAAACTGATATTCCCAGAATTCCCTGCGTGACACTCCACATTTGAAAGCATTTTGTTGAAATAATCATGTTTTTAAATAGTTTTGTCATGTTTGTTATCAGTTATGTAGATGTGGGTTTATGTTACATCTTCTGTTGTTTAATGAATGTTTATTGCATTATTTAAGTGTCGTGTGTGAGTTATCATGCTGGTGTTTAGTGTTTGCGTGAATGACTCTGTGTGCCCTCTATATATTATGGAATGCCAATCCTGCCATAATTATAAATAAATAAAGAAATGTACAAAGAAATGTAAAAAAAGCAAAAATAAATAATCATTTATCATTTTATTTCCTTATTTATGTTTTTTTTTTTTTTTTACACATTTATTATTTTTTATATTTTTTTATACATTTATTTATTTCCACTTTTATTTATTTTCACATTTATGTACCGTATTGACCCGAATATAAGACGATGTTTTTTTCTTGGCAATACATCTGAAAAAACGCGGTCGTCTTATATTCAGGGTCTAGACTTTGACATGTCAATAATACACCCACAACAATAGGTGGCGCCAAATA